GCAAAGCCGCCTACATGTCCTAAGGGGAGAGGAATGAAAAAGAGAGAGATGGAGAGAAAAATTCTTGGAGAGCCAAATTTTATTTTGTAAGATCGAAACCAAACGGCATTTTAGCGTTATTGAAACCGTCATTTCAGCAGTGGCAATAGTAGAAAGGTAAGAGAAAAAATAAAAATCCGTACGAATCCGGAAGGAAACGAAAAATGGTAGCAAAGAGAGGGCCGAAAGAAAAGAAAATAAAATAAAACAGGCACAAAGAAAAAGGAGTAAAAAATGTAGAATAGGTGACGAGCGAGCATATAAAAACGCATAAAAGAGATGGATGAACGGTGTATAGGAAGATTGCAACAGAAGATTTGGTAGCAGCAACAGCAAAAGTAGCGGCAGTAGCAACAGTAGCGCCGGGTGGGTAGAGGAGAGCCTCGGCTGAAAGAAGCAGCATGCGAAAAATGTGTACGATCTGTACGAGTGCCATTGAAGCGATTTCCATGGACGCATGTAATAATTGTTCAGATCGAGTCGGTTCGGCTCAGCTTGGGTCGGCTCGGACCGGTCTGGGCTGCTGAGATTTCACACCCCTTCCCACCCCGAATGGCCACCAAGTGGGCGCCCGTCTGGCCGGTGGCTGGTTGAAGCGGCTCCACCATCACACCGCGAGGCGACCTGCTCAGGCATTAGTCGCTGTGGCGAGTTGGCCGAGCTCCGAGACAAACGAGTCAATGGGTCGGAGAAGAAATGTTTTGTACATTTAGTGCTAATTGTATGAATGATAGTGGGTGGACGGGGAAGGGGAAGGGGAAGGGGAAGGGTAGATGGAAGGTAGAAGAAATGGGCCAGACAAGGCGGTCTGTACCGCAACAAAGAGGCCATCCCTTCTTAATGAGTAGAAATGCAAAATCCGAATAAAAGTGCCTATCGTAAATATGTACAGAATCTTTGCTCATGACTGCTAGCGCAGTCTGTGCACAAACAGTAAGTCTGCTCACGATGGCCCCACAACGAGGAACTGTGATGCACGGACTCGTATCCAAGGTCCATGCAGGTTTGCCCAAGCCTCGACTGTAATCCGAGTCCAGTCACTTGAGTCTGTGTCACTCTCAAGACTGAATGTACGAAGGTGCTGCATGGCGTTTGGCCGGCTTTACAGACGATCGTCAGAGAAAAGAGCTAGGCATACCGGGCGAAGGTCTAAGTGAATGACTGAATGAGTGATTGACTGATTGGCTGATTGGCTGTTTGACTGATTGGCTATTTGACTGTTTGACTGATTGACTGATTGGCTATTTGACTGATTGACTTATTAACTGATTGACTAATTAGCTTTTTGACTGATTGACTGATTGGCTATATGACTGATTGGCTATTTGACTGATTTACTGATTGTCTATTTGACTGTTTGACTGATTGACTGATTGGCTATTTGACTGATTGACTGATTGGCTATTTGAATGATTGACTTATTAACTGATTGACTAATTAGCTTTTTGACTGATTGACTGATTGGCTATATGACTGATTGGCTATTTGACTGATTTACTGATTGTCTATTTGACTGT